TGGAAAGTCATGTACCTTCTTTTTAGTGTGGGAGGGCTAGCAGAGCTGGTCTGCAAGAATCCAGTTAGCCACTAGATGGAAGCAGAGTTAGACATTTCAGAAGCTCTAGCCCTAGATTCAGTATATTGTTTCTTTTTCGACCAACCATTTTTTTCCCCTTGCTTAAAAAAGTCACTTCCTTCCCACAGTGGGTTTTCTTTCAAGGCTGATGGTTCTCTCTGCTGTTCTTATACACAATGAACTATCAAACTATACACAGGATTTCTAAATCAAATTGTCATCATGAGGGCCACATGAGGACTAGTTCATTAGTATGAGAGCTGCAATACTGAGACTTTCTTTACATTCACACAAATGTCCGTAGTGAGTTAGAAATGAAGAGAATTATACCATTCAACATACATTTATTACATTTTTAAAAAATATTACTGCAAAACTTTCCTGTGAAATTGTGCCATTCCCTTTGGGCCACATAAATGCCAGTGTTTTTCATCAATCAGAACACCAATATTGGGCTTCATTACTGGATTGATAGATAATATTTTTTTCAAGATCATATCTAAGATGATCCATCAACAATTATGCTATGCTGATGACATTGCCTTGAAAGTTGAAAATGGAAATGATGCTCACACTTTAATAAAGAAAGTGAAGGAGCACAGTGAAAAAAAAATGATTAATTGTAAGATTAATTATAAAAAAGATCAAAACAATGACAGAACAGCAACAGAATTGCATTTTGGAGTGATTATCAATAATAAAGGAACCAGAAGTCAGATATATGTCATAGATTTGCATATTGGAAACAATACTCAGGTGTTGTGATATTGTGAAAAAAGATTCATGCAGCAATGGTTGTCCTCAGAACTGTCTATGAAAGCAAAATTTGGATTCTGAATAAGCAAGATAGAAAGTTACTTTTGAACTTTGATGTTGGAGAAGACTCCTGAGTATAGGATGACCTTCCAAAACAAAACAAATGGATCATAGATATTTCAGAATGAGCCATAAATGACTGGGCTGAAATTATCGGTCTTCCACAGAGCACTGTCTCTGAAAATCTTCTGCCAACAAGTGGCATTCTAATTGCTAGGCCCCCACCCAGTGGTAAGACCCTTTTCAATCCATACTTATTGGGGAGAGACTTGGAGGACTATTTTAATATTCGAAGCTCTATTTGAATAGTTTGATGCTTCAGGCTCAGTTGACTGTGAATGCAAAGGAAGGCAAATTCCATGGATCTTTTGATTTTTATCTTTGTTGTTGATGTATAATCATGCTTATTTCCAGAGTGAAATGTTAGCACCAAGTGCTTTCTACAGTACTATATAAAATTACAAGCCAAGATTAAATTAAGACAGATGCTGCTTTTTATGAATGAATCAAGCCCCCTGCTCAAGACAGAAAAGAATAAAATAAGCTGACAGTATGGAAAGAGTAGAATGCTAGATGGGTGGAAAGATTTAATGAACTGTTCCATAATAATTGCCAGCCCCTAAAACTACATTTTATGGATATCACTTGAATCAATCAAGATTGTTAAGTGTGAAAATTTTGAAAGCTAAATATTGTATGGTTACACGTTAGAACTTGGGCCGGAAAAAATATTTGGGCAGCTGGACAAGAAAAGATCCACAGATGAGGCAATTCTCTGGTAGCCTCAAATAACTATGAATGGCATAGCGGTGGTGCTTCTCCACACACACACCCCGTGCGATTCTGTATAAAATGGCTTTCATCTTTTTATCAGTGTCTCTATTCCAGATTTCCCTGAAACGTGCTGCCACTGCTGTGTTTTTACCTACGCTGTTGGGTGCTCAAATAATAGGCTTTTAACAAATCATATGTGAAGAGGCTCAAGACGTGTTGCCTAGACATACGTTGTTGCATATTGTATTTTATATATTGTTGTTTATTTTAAACTGTGACCTATCCAGAGTCCCTCTGGAGTGGGATAGTGTCTAAATCTAAAGAAAGAAAGAAATTAGAAGAAAAAGTGCTATTATGGTGAAACGTTCATAAGAAGAAATTCAGATCACTCCTTTATCCTACAGGCTCTCTTGTTCCCTTGGCTTACAGGTGTGGGGCGCGGGAGTATTGTTGTAGTCTTAACTTGTTCGTTCCATTTGATGAGAATGGGACTGGCTAATTTGATTTCCAGTACAAGCGTGACTGCAAATGAAGCAATGATGACCTGTTGTTACCATGTCTACAGAGGAGAAAATGCTGATTTTCTGCAGAAAACCGAGGCACAAGTGCTGGATGTGACTGACTGTTCAAATGTTTCCATGTGCTATTCCCCCCTTCACATAAGAATGCACATACATAAGCCAGTTCTTCCTTATTTGGCATTAGCACTCGGCAGCAAACATGTTGACCTAGATCAGGGGTGTCAAACTTCCGGCCCATGGGCCGGAAGCGTCACAACGAAACCGCGCCCACCCCATTGCCGGCAATGGGGAAAAAGCTCCGATACGTTGCACGACATCACGTGACGTTGTGAGTTTGACATGTCTGACCTAGATCATAGATTTTGGGGTATGTGAGTGGACAAACTGCTCTGAAGCAAAAGAAAAAGTCACAGTTGCCTTTTAAATGCATAAAATGCCAAAACCAAGTTGTGAATATGGAGGTAAAATTTACACTGCCTAGAAAAAAATACTATCTGTTCTGACTTAATTACTACCGTATATATCAAGACCTCCGCTTCTTCTATTTTTACCCTTTAATTCAAATACATTAACTTTTTATTAGCGAACTGCATGTTTTTTGCCTATTCTTCCTTTTTTATGTGAGCAATCTTTATTAAAGCTTAGAAACATTACTAATAGAAATTATCATCTTGGGTAACCTAGGCTTTTACAATTGCCCATATTCTGACTCAATGCAAATAATATAAGCATTTTTATAATTTCTAGAAGGATAGCATGCTAATCTACTGCAGAAAGCAAAATTTTGTAGCGCTGTGACGGTTTAACCATTCATAATAAATAATTCCCTATGCTAATTAATGTCATAAAATAATTATTATTACATTTGTTTCAACTGGGAAAAAGAGAGGGAGAGGGAGAATCTATTGGATTCAGCAACATAGCTCAGTTATGGCCTTTTTAAACCATATCTGATACCTCTAGCAGTGCAAGTTTTGGATTAACTGTGAGCTGGGTGGTCTTCTGTTTCTTTAAATAGGAAGGGTTTGTTAGGCATTCTCATCTTTAATTCTTCCCAGGAACTGCAGCTGACAGTGAGAAAGAAAAAGATTTAAGTCCATTCCTATTAAGATGAAGTCATCCATGATTTAGGAATTCCATATACTCAGATTTTTAGTTGAATATAATCAATCATTAGAATTTTGAATTTTTTTGGGGGGGGGATATTCTTGGATCTTGTCCAAATTTTGTCCAGTTTGTTTCGAAAGACAATTTTGGTGTCAGTGTTGTAACCTTATCACATGCCTTAGATTAGGCTTAAAGCAGATTAACTACCACTGACTACCGTATATTGGTTGAAGATATATTGGTATTTCTCACGCAAAAGAAAGGTGAAAGAATATTTCTTCTTTTGGATTTGCTGCTAAGACCCTGGATGAGAAGAAAAGAAAGTGGTGGCAGGGAATAGCCTTTTATGACAATAACTCTACTTCACCGTGGGCTATTTGGATGAAAGACTCTGTAAACTTTACAAGTGCTAGAAACAAACTTTATAGGTGCTCCTGAACATACTTGGTGAGAATACATAATGTTAACACAATAGAAAATGTGATGAGTAAAGCAGACTTAAAGCAGAACTATGAATTGGCAATCTTTGGAGCCAGAAAACATATGGTGGTCAGACTACAAAAATGGCACCATAGGCATTGAAGGATAAGCAAAGTTTTTACTATGGTGAACATGGCAACTTTCCAATTATTTCCTTAAGCTGGAAGATGAAGTAGCTCTCTATATATAACACCTTTTTTCCACGCTGAAGACATTGGTGCTACATGACACGAGAGGCCAGTTCTCTGCTTTGCAGCTTCCTAAATCAGCTTTAAAAAATTAAAACGGGTCTTTATAAAAGCCAGATAGGGAAAGGAGATTAGGAGAGACCAAGGCAGGTGTTTGGGTCCCATGGATAATATGTTTCCTACTCTTGATTTGAAGGGATGCAGTGGCACCAAAAGCAGGGCGTAATTTGGTCATTTCTAAAAGACCTCTAGGAACTCCGAGTAGGATGGAGGTGAAAGCTGTACTGTAAATGTCTCTTGAATCAAGTTTAATTCCTTGTGACTTCAGATAGCTTTGGAGGCAGAATATTCTAGTACAGTGATGGCAAACCTTTTAGAGACCGAGTGCCCAAACTGAAACCCCAAACTCACTTATACATCGTCAGGTGCCGGGTGGGTGTGGCCCATTGGCTGGATGTGGCCAATTGGGTGGGTGTGGCCCATTGGGTGGGCGTGGCTGCGGTGGTAACGGCAGACTGGGTGGGACTAAAAAGTTCAATCAATCAATTCCAACTTTGCAAGATCTTTTTTTTCCCACAAGAAGTTGAAATTGACTGATTGATTGGACCTTTTTTTTTTGCACATGGCGGCGAAGGCCTAAAGCGAAAAGGTTTTATAAAAGCCAGCTGAAGGCCTAGGACTGGGGCGACGGCGTGCGTGCCCACAGAGAGGGCTCTGAGTGCCGCCTCTGGCACCCGTGCCATAGGTTCGCCACCACTGTTCTAGTACTTTGCCACTGCCTTTCACCCTGGTTGCCTCCCATCCAAATTCACACCAGATCTGACTTGCATAGCTCTTTTGAAATCAGCCAAGATCGGCCAGCTTCTGTAACCTTACACCGAAACCGGTCATTCATCGGGAATCAGACGCGCTTAGAAGAAGATGGGCCTTAGCTTCGGGAATCCCCTTCCTTGGTTAAATCTAATAGCCCTCGGTCGTACCAAGGGACACCTGCAGAGGGCTCTGACCCACAGCTTCCCTTCCGAAGTCCCCAGCAGGCCGAGCGGTGTGGGGTGGAGCCGATCGCACTCTTTCCGAGGCGGGGTGGCCCGGGCAGCGGCGTCCTGTTCGTTTGGGGTTGTAGAGGCGGTAGAGCATGCAGGTAGAGGAGAACCGAGAAGCGCTTTTCGCGCCCCCGGCTCTTCCGTCAGGCCGTTCGCTGCGGAAAATAGCGGGTGCTCGGAGGGCGGGCTCCATCTGGGTGGGCGATCTGTCGGGTCGCGTAGTTCAGACGAGAGGCGCGGAAGACCCCTTTGGAGGGACCGGGATGGGGCGAATCCCACCTAATTCGGCTTGTGTTTTTCCTTTCCAGACCAGCTCCAAGCAAGCGGTGCAGGCGGCGGCGCAAGAGCTGCTGAAGTTTGTGCACCGCAGCCCGTCCCCTTACCACGGTAAGAAAGAGGGACTCGGCGAAATCGGGAGCTTTGCCGCCGATCCGGTTTGTCACCGGAGGCCTTCCCGGGGTGGCTGTGCCCCCTTGCCCGGCTATTCCCGGGCTTATGATGCCTTTTCTTGAATCTTAGGCCTGGCCTCACAGTTAACATGTAAAAACCCCTGTCTAGACTTGATTTTTAAACATTGCCCCTTTTTCAGATTTTTACCCAGCACTGGAATATTCACTCAGGACACAGATAGTGCAATACAAGTTCATTTTTTTAATGTGCTAAAAGCAAGTTGAATGAGGATGTTTCAGCGTTTGATTTGCCAATATAGTTACATTTCTTTTTCTTACTCCTATGTTTTTTTTCCCTACTATTGTCTTTCTCCACCTCCCAAAGTAATGTTTTTTTAGTGTCCCAATTCTTCTGTGCCACTGCAGTGTGAGAAATTATTAACTTTTATTATACTTGGGGAGCATAGGTAGATTAAAAGATAACTTTCCTATTTTCTTAGTTTCCTAAGTTTCCTTCATAATCTTTTTTGCAGAACTTTGGTCCCTGTCTTTGCTCCCTGCAAGCTATGATTAGCATAATTTGATATTGTTGAATCATTAACAGCACCTTAATTACTTCTTTGAAGCAGAAGCTCGCCCTTTTGTAATATACAGAGACAGCAAATGCAATTTTAATGTCCTTAATCTTCTCTTCCATACGCCCGTAGGATTTACTTTAATTTAATAGTAGACTTGTTGACAAACAACAAATTAACTTAACTATTTAAATAAAATTCATAATTTTGCCCAATTCATTGCTTTTTTCTCTCTTTCGTTTAAAAAAGGTTAGAAATTATATATGCATTTTGCTGACAGATCTTAATATTCCTATCTTTTGCTAATAGAATGTTCTCGTGTACTTTCAATATTAACTTTTGCACCTCCATCAGAATTACAGAACTGTAACCTCTGAAGCAAAATAACACCATTTTCAATGGCCAAACATAAGTTGCGTATTATACAGGTATTGTGGGCAGGAGCATCTGCAAGGGAGGTCAAAAAGGTTAGATGATGTAAGCATTGTGCGGCATATTCCCCCCTTTTGTATGTGTATTGTACCATCACAATGTATGAAAAGGGCGAAGCTTGCAGTAAAACACCTACTTTCATCATTTTGACAAAAGTATCAGATTCTGCAGACTCTTCTGACTGCAGGCACATTCACACAAAAGATTAAGTTACTGAGGCTGTGTAACATGAGCATGTGCCATGGATACAGATTCCAACTAATGTTAATCAGAAATGGTGGCTGCTTCAAAATAATCAAGAAGCTTAACACGAAAGCCACAAATTGGTGTTAAGGAATTGTGTGGAAATGATCCTAGATGTTCATATTAAATAACTTAACTGGTTTAGCAATGTTTGCATCCATGTTTAGCATCCAGTGGTATTGGTTAAGGTTCTCTCCCCTATATTAAAATGTCATTTTTTTATTTATTAAACCTGTATGCCGCCCATCTCACCAGCAGCAACTCTAGATAGCTTATAGACATTCAACTAAAATGCACTATAAAATGTTAAAACAATAAATAAGGACCATACATTTTAAATTCAAATAAAATTAAATTCAAATAAAACTAATTGGGATGGAGAGGGAGGGAGCAAAGTGTACACAGGGAGGAGGTGGGATGTTACCTACTCCATTAGCCACCTCCAAAGTACTATATCCCCTTTGGGACCCCAGGCTAGTTGGCATAGCCATATCTTCAAGGCCTTTTGGAAGGCCAAAACAATCCACTTCAGAGAGCCATAGTGGAAAAGGCTCTTCTTCTGGGCCTTGCCAGCCCAAAATCCTTGGCTGGCAGGGTCCGAAGCATGCCTCTTCTGCTAGTGCGACTGGGGTGGACTATTCCCATCAGAATTATACTTTTACACTCTTTTTAAAGCATGGCTTCAGAGAGTCATTAAAATATTTAAAAGCTCTGTTCTTAGAATTTTTAAAAAAGAATCTTGGATTAGGGTACTGAAATTATGTGGGGGAAATTTGGAAGGAACTTTTAGCAATACATTCTCTAACACGAGGCACAGAGTAAATATTCAGATTCCATGCTGATGAGGATATATTTAGAAATCTATGTGCAAAATGCATCATATTTGCACTATATATGCATTTCTTGCATGCACACACATATTTCTGATGTAACAGCTTTGTTTCTGCCTAGCCTCTTTGCTTCTTAAATAATTGTCTTATTTCCTTGGGTAAGCATCTTGTACATTCTGTCTTGATCTGCAATCCAAAGTGTAATAAACCAAAAGTAAGTGCAGAGGAAGACTTGCAGAGGAAGATCACATCTTGAGGCCTTAGGGCCAAAGTTGTGTTGACAGTCTCGGACAATCTTCCTAATAAATATAACCCTAAAATTGTTCTTCAGTTTTATTGACCTCCAACTTCGTTGGGATGGCAACTTTCAGAATTCTCAACTAGCTTGGGTCAAAAGCTGAAGGACAACTTGTGGAATTGCAGTCCCAGCCCAGGTGGGGGAAGGCTGCCTGAGGGTAGCCAGGATAAGATCACCATCACACCATCTGTTCCTGAGGTGTGTCAAACAATTCTGATAGCCTGATGAGCATCAGTAGAGTTGCATCGCATCCTGTTAATTTGGAGGTCACTCAGGATTGTGGATCTCTGGAGGGATTTTATAGCAAGCTTTCTTGCCAGATGCCTTAGCTGTTTCCTTTTGTGATTGCTTCTGCTCTTCCTTCCTGCAGTGGTTGCTGAATGTCGGAATCGCCTGCTTAAGGCTGGTTTCCAGGAACTGAAAGAAACTGAACACTGGGATATCAAGCCTGACAGAAAGGTGAGGAGGAGGAGGAGGAGGAGGAGGAGGAGGAGGATGAACATAATGACATTTCTGTACCTTGCTTCTGATTTATAGTTGTGTTGCCTTTATTTTGAAAGAGATGGAGGGTGGGGTGGAAGTACTTCCAGATATTTTCCTGAGAGACAAAGCAAAATATTGATGTCTCTGTTTCTTTCTGTACTCTTTTTTTGGCCTCAGTATTTTGTGACCCGAAACTTTTCAACGTTGGTTGCTTTTGCTGTGGGGGGACAATTCCAGCCAGGTAATGGCTTCACATTGGTTGGAGCTCACACTGACAGTCCCTGTTTGCGGGTAAGCAATGATATAATCCTTGTCTGATATTTTTGCCCTTGGCTGGATTTTTCTTTCCTGCTTCTACTAATTATCTTAATTTTCCCTGCTATCACATTCCTAAGCTAACAAATTCCTAAGTCTGGTTGTGCTTCAACCAGTAGAGCTTCATCTTCTTCTCCTCAGCTACAATTTCCTATATGGTGGCACTATTTCTTACGCTTCTTGGAAGGATTTCTGTTTTTGTATTCACAGCCTATTTCTTTTAAAAATGACATTAAAGTGCCACATAGTAATTGAACACGACTCTTGGGGAGACGTGAGGTTATGGTTGTGTCTCTTCCAGGTGAAACGGTCTTCAACATGTAATCAGGAAGGTGCAGTCCAGGTGGCTGTGGAAACATATGGAGGCGGTATCTGGAACACCTGGTTTGACCGTGATCTCTCTGTGGCGGGAAGAGTAATTTTCAAGGTCAGTCCTGCCTGAATTACTCTCCTACATTTTTAGATTCATACAATTGGAAAAGAACTTGAGACTCATTTCTTTCTCCATCTAGTATTATAAGGATGTCACAAAAAGATCTACTTTTGTATTACCTCAATGCATGGCAACAACTGTAGTGGATTTCTTCCCATGGACCCCAAGAAAACATAAGAAAAAAACAGATATTCCATAGCAAAAAGTTAACAGGGCAATTTTGCCATCTAAGGTGCCTTGAGATGGTTAAGTAATCTGATGTACAGAACCAGAACCAACTCCTCATGATTTTTAGTTAACTTTTTGGCAGTTGCTTTGTGAAACAGTCACTGTTCTCTGGGACTGAAGATGTTGGAGGGTTAAATGCAAACGTGTATAAATTTGTGTTGGCATTTAATCCTCCATCCAAATGTCAATGTTTGTGTTGTAAAATAGATTTCCAGGGCCTTGTGTAGAATACAATGTTTTCTATTCATTTCTTGATTGGAAATGGAAGCAATAATATTACAGAAAGAGCCCATAAGAATGTTAAGCCTCAGCACTTCTATGACTTACTGGATCAGGCTTTCAGTCCTGGTGTAATCAGTACACTCAGAGGACCCGGATGCCCAATATTCTTTATAAATGATTGGAGAGTCATTTAAAGTGTGTTATGCAGCATTTTGCTCGTTGCCTTTGCGTATGGTGCAAAGCCAAATTTTAAGGCTAAAACATATAAGGAAAGGATGCTGGAATTGGGTATGTCTAGTTTAAGGAAGAGAAGGACAAGGGGGGACATGATAGCAGTGTTCCAATATCTCAGGGGCTGCCACAAAGAAGAGGGAGTCAAGCTATTCTCCAAGGCGCCTGAAGGCAGGACAAGAAGCAACAGGTGGAAACTAATCAAGGAGAGAAGCAACCTAGAACTAAGGAGAAACTTCCTGACAGTTAGAACAATTAACCAGTGGAACCACCTGCCTCCAGAAGCGGTGAATGCTCCAACACTGGAAGTTTTTAAGAAGAGACTGGACAGCCATTTGTCTGAAATGGTGTAGGGTTCCTGTCTGAGCAGGGGGTTGGACTCGATGACCTCCAAGGTCCCTTCCAACTTTATTATTATTATTATTATTATTATTATTATTATTATTATTATTATTATTATTATTATTATTATTATTATTATTATTATTATTATTATTATTATTTTCTGAGTGGAACTAAAAACCACAAATGACTAATACACTCAAAATCTGATGTTACTTCTTATCAGAGATGCAAATCTGTCCGCCTCCACCTGAGCACAGAGTTTTCGAACAAAGCAGATTTTGCTTTTGTATAGAATTGCATTATTAAGATGTGCTAGTACAAGAGAGAAGATATAGGTATGATTACTAATGTATTGGAACATATCATTTGCACATGTTCAGAGAAGTTAATGTTCTCTTCATTTAACGTGCCTGGGAACAAAAATTGCTATTGCTGCTGTTTGCGATTTGAAATATACAGACAAGTGACAGAAACCAAAATATGTCTGTTCCTTTTCTGTCTATCTGGGATGAGAAAATTGTTCTTAAGTTATATTAAAGTAGAAAAAGTAGATGCATTTTTTTCTTCAAAAAAAATTCCGCTGCTCCAAATGTCCATTTTTAAACTTAAACTTTTAAAGAGTCTTTTTAAAGGGGTGCTCTAGAAAAAAATCTGCATACCTAATAAATAGATATTAACTTTAGATAGGTAAATTTGTGTATCTAAAGTTGCAAGACTGCTGTAACTGCCAGGTTTAGTTCTGAAACTACTATGTGACATCAACAAAACCTCTTAAGGGTTCCTTGGGAATTAATTAAAACTAACTGAAATTTTAAAATATTTGCCTTTTAGTGTCCTCTCTCTAGCTCCCTTGCCACTTTAGTTTCTAAAATTAGTTTTCCTATGTTACTTAAATGAGCAAAGCGTATATTCTGCTATGAGAAATACTCCTGAAGTGTCAAATGTTGCTTGGATCTCAAAACTTAAGAGGAAGAGGTGAGGGAAATCTTGCCACATCTTAAAAATAACTTCAACAAGGCTGTGTTTGATTGCTCTTGGAAGAATGGTGGGAAATTAATTTTATCAATTTAGGTTTGAAAAATTGTACAAATTGCACATTGCATCTCATAATAAATAAGGAAAATAAAACTGAGGCTAGAACCCGTTTATTATAAACAGACTACTTCTGAGAAGACTTGCACTCAGTGGTAATTTTCCCAGATTATGAAATGAGTTTTGCCTTTATTCACATAAGTTTCTTGTTCTCATGTTTTTAAGAACATCTGAAAATACATTCAAAATGTACCCCTAGGGCAGGGGTAGGCAACCTTGGCTCTTTTATGACTCGTGGACTTCAACTCCCAGAATTCCTGAGCCAGCCATGCTGAGGGGAAAGGGAGAGGTTTCCAAGCTGAGCCATGCTGGCTCAGGAATTCTGGGAGTTGAAGTCCACGAGTCATAAAAGAGCCAAGGTTGCCTACCCCTGTCCTAGGGATACGCAGTGCTTTGCATTGGAAGCAGAAGGGAACACGGAAGTGCATATTGTGCATAAGACTCTGTGTCCCTTGCAAAACACTTTTTTCTGCTTCAGATTTAAATTGCTGCATGCACACCCATGCAAAACACTAGAAGGCTAAAATAGATTTCAGCAGTTGGCAAAGATGCATTCTGTGAGCTTTCTGTGCCAACACTTGTCCCTCTTGATATGTGTTTTCCCAGGTAGATATTGGAGTCTTATTTCTTTAGGTCTGCTGTGTGAGAAGGGGACTCTTGAAACCTCTAGCTTTTCAATATGTATAAGGGATGTGGAGAAGCAGAAAATACTGAATCACGTATTTTGGGCTTCATGCATACTAGAAAACAAACATACCAAAAGTTTGTTTATATGTACAGCAGACTTACGCGTCACATTAATTTGAATTGGGATATATTGAAAAGCATGATTCACACATGATAAGGAAGTATAAATTAGGACTTGCAAACCATAATGGTTTCATTTGTGCAATATGCATTCCTTTGGGACCGGCTAACCTGAAGGATTGTCTTTTTTCCAAGAGTCTCTACCCGTCCAACTCAATCTAGCAGAATGGGCATGCTGCAGATCGCATCAGTTGAAGGGGACGGATTCCTGCCCTATGGAACATCCTCCTTTTGGAGATTAGAATGGCCCCAATCCTGATAGCCTTTTGTAAAGGCCTAAAACCCTGGCCATGTTCCTGAGCCTGCAGTGCTGAATGTGTCAAGAGCCCCCTTTCCTGGTTTTATTGCAATAGGCCAACTGTCTCGGCTGCTATGTATATTAATTTGGATGTTTTTAATTGTTTTTTCTTGTTTTAAAATGTTTTTCATGTCTTAAGTGTAATATATTTTTTGAATTGTAAACTTACCAAAGTCATTGATTGAGATGAGTGGCTATAGAAAAGGAAGGAGGGAGGGAGAGAGGGAGGGAGGGAAGGAAGGAAGGAAGGAAGGAAGGAAGGAAGGAAGGAAAACCCAAAGAAGCCCTGTTACCAGCCAGCCTATAGTGTGCCAATAAGAAGCCTGCAAGTGTAGATTATCTCTTCCTTGCATTCTCCAGATGTGATTCCCAAAATTTCATGCCATCAAAATGGCTGGCAATCATGGGAACTCCATTCCCAATATTTCTGGATCACCCAATTATGTGAAACTGATTTATTAAGGACTCGAGAGTTTATTAAACAGTGGATAACTTCTAGATGAAGAGCTGAAGGCGCTAAAGTATGGTAATATCCTTGCTGAATGGAGATGGATAAAGATTGGATCTAAAACTTGATATTTCTTCCTGTGTTGAAACCAGCACACATTTCCTTATGTGCTACCTCGAGTATTTCTGCTTAAGCAGACTAGTCTCTGAAGAATAAAGTGAATTGCACAAAAAATAGAGTCCTGTGGAATTTTTGTAGCTTTGTAAGTCAATAACGGTCAATGAAAAGTTCATCTTGAAAGCACTTGAGGCTGAAATAGATATAATACAAAGGATCTCTCTTCAAATCACCAGTTTCTTATTTGGCAGCAGTGTTGTTAAAGATTACTACATTTCCTCTTTCCCGGCCACTAAACACTGGGGCTGGGAAATTAAAAATAAAACTGTTCGGATAAAAATCAGAGCCATGAAATTCTCCACCTGTTCTTAGTTAAAGTTCAATGATGCATTTATTTGGGCTATTGGAGTTGGTTTTCTTTTGATAACTGCTAAGACAGAGTTACTTGCTGGAGCTGTTTCCTGTATAGCTTTCCTCTATTCTATCCTTTTTTTTAATCGTGAGATTTACTCATTCAGTTCAAACAACAGTGGTTTTATACTGCTTTCTGTTTCATTGCAGGACCTGTCCACGGGGCGGCTGGAGCAACAGCTAGTGAGGGTGGAACAGCCTATTCTCCGCATCCCAAATTTAGCCATCCATCTCCAGCGCAACGTGAATGAGAGCTTTGGACCAAATACTGAGCAACACCTGTGAGAGAGTAAACAGTCCTTGTCCTGCACTGTCTCAGACAAGGAGCCTTTCTTGGAAGCTGTTATGTTAGGGCTAATCAGTTAGTCAGTCTTTAGGAAAAGAGATCCCAGGAGCCCTGTTTATCGACTTCCTTCCTGGCAAGGGCTGCAGTGCAAAGGAGCTTTGCTGGAATTGGACCAAAACCTTAATTATTGCAGTATGTTGTTCCCGCACTGTCAGACTAAATGGCTCTAGGAAATCCATAACAAGCATGGCACAAGTGTGGAAGTCCAGTCTCCCTATTATTCCCCACCAATTGGGGAATAAACATCCTTGTTTATTTCTTAACTCGGTGCTATGTCTTGCAGTACTGAATTCCATAGATTAACTTTGTGCTGTGGACAAAAGTTCCGATTGTGCTGCACGCGCACATACACATAACCACACTGAGTAACCTTTTATTGTGTACGATTCTGGAGAAAGGATGTTGCAGTTTTATCAAACATTTGTAAGTGGGATTCAGGAAGGGCTTTTGCCAATGTGACATTTTGAGTTGGTAAACACTTTTACAAGAGATTTGCCTTAAGGCTTTCCCCTTCACCTTATCGCTTCTCTTTTAATAAAGCCAAATAATCATCTGGCAAACAAAGTATGAATTCTCTGCTTTCAATATACTGTGTACGATATTGCTTTTATTATGAGTCCCTTTGATTTCCCTTGGTTAAGGTAGTTACTATTAAAGTAGAATCCACCTTAAAATAAACATAGGTGAAGTTATAATGTTGGTCCAGATTTACTCAGAGCGGATTTCTTGAATCTGTGGAGTATAAGTAATGCTATTCTGTCCAGTTCCCTGCTTGATAACAGGAGATCATGAGCAAGGATGTCCTCATTCAAGAGCACCCAGCTAAAAGACTGCTAGCAAGGGAGGGCTTGATATACTTCTTGGCCATTCACTGCCTGGGTTGAATGCTACTTTTCTGCTGCTCAGTGTGCTCCCATCAATGGAAGCGATCTTTAGTGATCTCCCATCTCCTTGCCTTGCAATTTCTCTTACTGTCCTAGAGGACCTACCGTCCTTTGGAACCGTTACTGAGGTGGGTATAGAAGACTACAAGTTCAGGAAAAAATTATGAAGGTTGTCTCTTCCGCCGGTCAGCCATCAGAAGCCTTTCTTCTCTGGCTTGGAACTCTCAGAACCTGACCATGACCTTCAGACTTTTACGTGAAGGCTTGGTTTGCATTTGTAGTAACTGAATAGTAGGATGGAGTCTGCCAGGGGAGTAGAGTTCGCCTCACAATGATAGGAAAAAAAACACATTCATGCTCACATTTTCTTTCAGAAAAGCTGCATCTGGAGGCAAAGGAGCCTTCTTCTGTCTAGAAGTGCTGAACAAGACCTCTTATACTATCCAGGATGTTCTCTAGCTCTTGGATGCTTTAACACAGCGGTTCTCAACCTATGGGTCACGACCCCATTTGGGGTCGATCGACCATTTCACGGGGGTCACCAAGCAAGGCTGTCCGCCATTTTTTCCCCCTTTTCCGGCGGGTGCCTTACCTCCCTTGAGCTGGGCCAGCTGGTGGTCGGCCTGCTCCATCTCTGCCGCTTGCCAGCTACGCCTCGGCTGGCACAGGGGGCGGAACCACACATGCGCGGCGCTCCCGGGCAGGGAAAGTCCTCGACTTACGACCGGTTGGGTAGTCCTCGACTTACAACCGGTTTAGTCCTCGACTTACGACCGGTTTAGTCCTCGACTTATGACTGGTTTAGTCCTCGACTTACGACCGATTGGGGGTCGCGGCATTAAAAAGGTTGAGAACCACTGCTTTAACAGTATTCTGAATGTAATGATGGGAGAACATCCTGAGAAAAACAGGAGAAATATCTAGAGCAGTTTTCCAAACTGTCACGCCCTTTAGGTGGGTTGGACTAGATTCCCATCCCTCCCCAGTATTTTGCAGATTGAGAATAATAGATGATGTAATCCGGGATTTCGGGACACTACCTCCATGGGGATGAGAAGTGTGTGACCTATTAGCTACCTACAGGATGCTCTGCTTGCTTCCTCAGCTCTGAATTCTGCTGGCTCTGTATTTTTAAGTTCTAAGATTCTCCAGGGAGCAACTATAACAGCCAGTTCATTGGCTTTTCACAGGGTTCCAATTCTGGCCACTCAAGCCCAGGAGATATTGGAGAAGGGAGACTCCATAACAGAAGACAGCTGCACCCAATCTTTCCAGGTAAGATAATTGGATAGGGCAGGGGTCTTCAAACTTGGCCCTTTTATGACTTGTGGACTTCAACTCCCAGAATTCCTAAGCCAGGCACACTGGCTGAGGAATTCTGGGAGTTGGAAGTCCACAAGTCATAAAAGGGCCAAGTTTGAAAACCCCTGGGATAGGGGGTGCAGTAGACTCGTCAGTCTGTATCAATCATAAGCTGTTGGTTGGGAGCAATAGGGCTGCAAGTGAGGGAATGCCTGTCTCTGTCACTGTAGGATGTTCGCCAGAGTTGTTGCACATTCCTAACTTCTCTCTTGTCTACCAGAATCGTCATTCTCCAATTCTGATCTCCCTTCTCTGCTCCCATCTGGAAGTGAAACCTGAACAACTGGTGGAGATGGAACTGTGTTTAGTAGATACCCAGCCCCCAGTAAGCACAGTTTTATTTTTATTTTTGCATTGCTACATAATGAGTTGGGGTGTAGGTTCAGGTGGCTTGTGTTTAGGCAGTGCCGCGTTTTAAAGGGCAGGTTGCAAGAGAGAGATAAAATCGTGTTTTTCTGTAATGTAGCTTGATTTTCTAGAAATGCCCGTGAGATTTGTCAAGAGGTTGAGACCTGCTCCAGCTTCATACTCTGCTTTGTTTTCATTTATTTGCTCACATGTAGGCAGTATGAGAGATATAGAGATGGGGATACACTAGGAAGGGCAAAAACATTTCCCAAATTATGGTGACATAGCTGCCAAAAAGGTAACTGATGTTTGAGAAAATATTAACAAGAGCATAAGAGTCCAGATTATGGGAAATAATTCTTGTATTTTATTCTACCTTGGCTATACCACATTTAAGGTGCTATGTCCAGTTCTGAGCATTGTAATCAAAATGGATCTGGAACAACTTAAAAGAAGGAAGTGAGGGGACTGGAAATCCAAGTCCTATGAGGAAAGTTTATTTGTTTGCTTATGAGATTTGTCCACTGTTTTAAATCTAATGGATTCTAGGCAGCTCACAGAACTGGTTTAAGATTGAGAGGAAGTATAATAGCAGTCCATAGGATTGCCAACTAGACTTCGTTGTCATCTCTGAGGGCAAGAGTGGAGCCCTTGGGTTAAATCTGTAGGGATTTAGGGTCAAGTTAGATAGTCTTAGGAATTTCCTGACAATAGCAGTAGTCAGCCAGTGGGATAGGCTATCTCAGTGTTGGTGAACCTATGGCACGCATGCCAGAGGTGGCACTCAGAGCCCTCTCTGTGGGCACGCGTGTTGTCGCCCCAGCCCCGCCTCCCCCCACGGCCCCCTCCTCACCAGCAGACCCCCAGAGGAGTCGCCTCCGAGTACGGCCTGTGCAGAGCAGCGCAGCCAAGGACATGGCAGCCGGGCAGCAGGGACAAGACTCCGCCCTCGCGCCCTGTCACGTGCAGATAATGCTGCGGGATGTGGGCAGAGGGCGTGGCTGCCATGGCGCTGCTGGGCTGCCTGGGCGATTTGCTGCGGCAGGTCGTGTAAGCGGTGGGTGACCCTGCGGGCAGGCAGAGTGTGGAGCGGGCGGGGGCAGGGAGATGGGGGCGGGGGCGGGTTTTGGGCACTTGGTCTCTAAAAGGTTCGCCATCACTGGGCTATCTCATAAAGTGGTATGTTTCCCTTCGGTGGAGTCTTCAGACAGAGACAAGGTAGCCATCAGGCCAAAGTGCTTTAACAAATCCTATAAGCAGGGACCAGATGCCCTTCAAGGATTCTGTCAATTGTATCATTTTATTTTATTTTATTTTGCCCATGACTTCCCAATAGACACTGGGTGGTGCCTTCAATGAATTTATATTCTCTCCTCGCCTGGATAACCTACACAGCTGCTATTGTGCCCTGCAGGTGAGTAACTTAATATCAGGAGCTTTCTTGTTGCTTTGCTGCTATCTCAGCACCCAGGAAAGGGCTACACTGGAACATACAAGTAGTCCTTGACTTACAACCATTCATAGTTAGAACAGCGCTGAAGAATGTGACTTATGATGAGTCCTCGCACGTATGACCATTGCAGCATCCCTGTAGCCATGTGATCAGAATTCAGGTACTTGCCAACTAGCATGTATCTACTACGGTTGCAGTGTCCCAGAGTCACATGATCACCATTTGCGACTGCACCAGGAGCTTCTGGCAAGGAAAGTTGGGGGGGGGACCAGATTTGCTTAATGACAATGATTTGCATGACCACAGTAAAAGGTTGTAAAATCTCTAAGCAACGGAAGTACCTTCTCAGTTGTGGTCATAAGTTGAGGACTACTTGTAGATGCTATTTGCTCTCCATGCATTGTCTGGCTTTCTGCTATGCACGGCATCAGATTCTAACAGAAAGTTACCCTGGAGGCCCTTATGCACCAGCATCTTCCTGCAGGTTGAGCTGAATAGGAGAGGTGAGGATCATAAGCCCAAACCCTCTTGTCAGAGCATGCACAGTCTTAGTGCGCTGAGATAACCCAGGAGTAAACACTAAAGTAAACAATGGTCTATATTAAATGGTGATTTATCTTACACTATCTACAATATCATACACCAGGAACAATATACATACACGTGCTAATACAGCAGGATCCAATACACAGCAGTTACAGCAGGAAACGGAAGAGAGAAAGAACACATCAGCAGAGCCTTCCCTTTATACAAAGGCTCTTAAAGAGACACAGACCCTGCTGAGTCATTCCCATCATTACATCTTACATTACATAAGCTGGTTAGCTGTTAAATCAATACCTTGACACCTCTGGTGACCCAAAAGTTCCTGGTGTTCAAGAGGGCTATATGTCCTTCATTTTGTGCTCCTGGCAGAGGTCTCGGCTCAAGAGGCGTTCATCTCTCCTGAGCTTTAAAAGAATGGCTCTTTATCTGCGCATTCCTTTCCTTGAAGGAGACTGCTGCTTTAGAAGCCTCTTAGGAAAGCCAAGCAGCTGAGATCACCTCACTCTGTTTTGTACATATGTGCGTGCCGGGAAAAGGCTTGTAATACGAGGGATTGGGAACCTAGTCTGTTGTTTTTAACTGGGCTTGATGCTTGAAGATAGGCCAGACTGATGGGCGCAGGGGAACACAGAGGGAAAAATGTCCTGCCGACAAACAGAAGGGGTAGAAATGACACTAGGGAAGGTAAGCCACCAATTGGCCTCCCTGTCGGGTCCATTCAGACTTAGTCTAATGAAGGAAGTCAAGGTAACCATGAAGATGACTCCTCCAACCAAACCATCCTGTTCCTCAGTGCTGAGTCAATTGCTGATTAAAACATATAATGCACATATTGCTGAAGCCTGGCTGAATTGAGTTATTCTGTTAACTCACCTCATCCAGCTTTGTCTCCATGTTGTAGCATCCTGAGATCTGACAGCAGGGAGTTAGAATATCAGCATCCGCAGCATCCTCAGGACAGATAGCTGGTTTTGAATATGTACTGCTGCTTTTGGCAGCCAGGAAAGTTTATGCTTTTTATTTGCTCTACTTTTCACAGTCTCCTCCTGAGCTCTGGAATGACCTTGGATGACCTATTCTTTCTGTTCTAGAGCATCTCTAACAGAACATGTGTGCTTCAAATCCATGCATAGACCAAATGTACTTTTGCTGGGTCTGCACAGATGAAACATATGGCTGGGCCCAGGGAAGGGTCATCATGTACATGCAGATCTTGTACCTGTTCTGTGCATAAAAATAGCCTGTGGGATCAGGCCAAGGCCCATCTTACTCTAGCATCTTGTTTCTGTGCAGTACTCATAAGCAGGAGATGGCAACATGTTCCTTATTTCTGCTATATTCCTATAACATTTTGAGGAATGCTGTCCGCAACCTGGGGGGGGCATATTTTTCCAATCCTGCTTTTTAAAAACGAAGTTAGTGGCCTAAAGGTTGAATCATGGCAAATGGACCAATCTATGTTAATCTGAGACATTTCATTTGATTAAAGCCATGAATGAAGGCAAATATGTGTGTCCCAGGATAATGGTGCAGGATCCAATCTGGGTCGGTCACCAGGACTATGCACTAGAGTAGCCCAAAGCACACATTCTGGTGAGAAAGAAGTTCCCTGAGGATGGAGTCCAGCATATGTCTGAAAGCCTGGAAGACTAAACCTTTGGTCCTGATGACCGACCCAGACTGGATCCTGCAATAAGTTAAGAGTGCAGTCAAGAGGCTCACTTACCTGGCAAAAAGGAGACCTCCTCCAGTGTCCCTCCTAAACTATGGAATGCATTTCTTTCATATACACGGACACGCTTGGTGTTCACAAATTTCATGAAGGTTGAATGTGTAGAGACCAGCAGAGCATCCCACAAAGGTTGATCGACTGAACAAATATTAAAATCATGTTTCTCTAGGAAACAGAGCAAAAGGGAATAATCGTGCCATTTACATGTGGAAGTAAAAGTAATTGCGCATTTACGCAAACAGCATTAACATTTAACAGCATCTTCAGAAGGACAGGAGACAAACAGTACAAATTGAAAGATTTGGAGGAATTTAACAAATCTAGTTGGCCAACTTAGATACAGATCAGCATTTTTAGCAATTAGTATCTATTATTTACAGTTTTATTACTCTCTTACTTCTACCACTGCAATGAATTTCTGACATAGAAGAGGGTAGTGTTAAGAATTGGGCTTAGAGGAGATGTTTCTGTATTGTAGCTACAAAGAGCTTAAAGGAACTGGAGAGAAATCAAAACTCTCTATTTTCCTAGGCTGGTATATTTTTCCAGATGGGCATTTTGGAAGAACACTTAGTCAAGACTTACAAATAGGCTTCCTTGTTGAGTGGGAGGTCTAATTCAGGTTTCTTCTTGTATGAATGATCTAGCTATGAACTGCAGATTCTTCCTGTCCTAGGCTTTAAGCTTCCAGCATTCTGACAGATACTAACTCATAAACCCGGGAGAAAGCCAGAAGAAAGTATTTTTGAAAATCCTTAGGCATTCCCTATCTTATCTGTTCACCTCGGTCCCCTGTCTACCCCTTCAGGCTTTGATTGAATCTACCGATGATCCTGATGTTCTTGCTCAAGAGCCCAATGTGCGCCTGGTTGCACTCTACGACAATGAAGAGGTTAGTGGTAAGCTCTTTTTCTGAATGGGAGGTCAAAGGAGCCTTTCCTGTTCTGATCTGAAGGGATACTTACCGTAACATGGTTAAATCTAATAGACCACATGGGTTGGGAGATTTTTTTTTAACCACTCTTTCAACCCTTTGACATCCAAAACTGATGAGCGGGGATAAAGCTGATCTCCAAATTGGGATGGCAATTAAAATTCTGGTAGCATCAAAACGCTTCTTGATACTTCACCTTTTGAATGCATCTTTGTGGCAGGTTGGTTCAGAAAGCGCTCAAGGGGCTGCCTCCCTCCTCACGGAGCTTATTCTTCGTCGCATTTCATCTTCGCCCCAGAACCTTACAGCATTTGAGGAAGCAGTGCCCAAATCGTGCATGATCAGTGCAGATATGGCTCATGCAGTGCACCCCAATTATGCGTAAGTATGTTGCTAATGGAGAGTGCATTTTGTCACAAGGATGCTTGCTGCTTTCAAAAAACCTATTTTCATTTGTTACCCACAATTCCATCCTTCAGATTGTATGAATCTTAACAGGGAAAGCTACCTGAATAATAAAAACCTCAGACTCTCTTGTAAGCTGCCTGTTGTACTTTCCCCATATCTGAAGAGGCAAAGGGCTATTTAAAATCTCCTTATCACTTTGGGTTATTTGTATATCACAGGGTAGATGACTGATACTCCTCTCCAAATTATAGATCAGGCCCCAGTCCTAGGCCTTCAGCTGAATTTTATAAAACCTTTTCGCTTTAGGCCTCCGCTGCCGTGTGCAACAAAAAAAAGGTTCAATCAATCAGTCAATTTCAACTTCTCGCGGGGAAAAAAAAAGATCTTGCAAAGTTGAAATTTGATTGATTGAACTGTTTACTCCCACCCAGTCTGCTGTTACCACCGCAGCCACGCCCACCCAATGGGCTATGCCCACTCAATTGGCCACACTTACCCAATGGGCCACACCCAGCCAATGGGCCACACCCACCCGGCACCTGACGATGCATAAGTGGGTTTTGGGTTGCAGTTTGGGCACTCGGTCTCTAAAAGGTTCGCCATCACTGTTATAGATGATTCCCCAATATAGGTATGTATGTATATATGTATGTATATGTTTAATTTCTATGGGAATCCATATCTTAAAACAAGTGATTGTATATATGTATGTATGTATTTAATTATTATAAGCACCCTTATCTTAAAACAAGTGACTGTATTTAATTTCTATAGGCACCCATATCTTAAAACAAGTGACTCTGGGCAGCCAACAATCATAAAACAAAAACAGTTCCAATATCATACAAAAATAAATATATATGGCAAGAGGGGAAAAAATGTCATCGTAGATGTCAATATATCCAGGAAAAGGGACCCTTCACCCACTTGGGGGCCCAGGGACAAAGCCAGGCCTTCAGGTCCTTATGAAAGGCCAACAGGATCAGAGTCAGCTCTGAGGGGAGAATGTTCCAGAGGCTACGGCAGAGAAAGCACATCTCCTAGTCCCCACCAGCTGACATTCCTTGGCTGACAGAACCCACAGCATATCCAGCCTGTTGGACCGAATTGGATGCGTAGAAATCATTTTGTTCCTGGGTTTTGGGTTCTCTGAAAGTGACTAACTTTTTAGAACGGATCCATTCACTTATTTTGTAAAGGACTGAGCCAGGATTCGGGGCAGAGTCATGAGCAAGCCCTCTTTCTTCCAAAGCCTTGAAGTTGCCAAAATGAGTACAGGTAGTCCTCAACGTATGACCACAATGGAGCCCAGAATTTCCATCACGCCAGTCATAAGTCAAGGCGCTCAAGTGACCATTTTTGTGACCTTTTTTTGGGGGGGGGAGCTCTCATTAAACAAGTGGGGCAGTTGTAAATCAAACCAGGTTATAAGCTCTGCCATAACTTAAAATTGGTGCTAGGCAACCAGTCGTTAAGCGAGAACTGCCTGTATGATAAAAACTCAACTTGAATATGCAAGTGGGTCCGTTCAGCCCTCCATGCTGTGTGCTTTTAAGCTTGAAGCATCTTTCAGAACTGGTGCTGAGATGGCTTCCATCATCCTGTTGCTGATGTGCTGCAGAATAAAGTAATTTTATTCTAATCGTTTGAAGCACTTTTCTCTCCAGGCCAGAGGTTCTGTGCTAATGAAAGATCTCTGCACAAAGACTTCTTCGTTGGTTCTCTCAAAAGAGCTAGTCTGTCTCATCTATTAAAAATGGTTTGAATGCATTACAGTGACAGCTCCTCTTTCCTTCTGTCCTCTGATCTTTGAAATTCAGGCCCAAGCGGAAGTGCTTATTATAGGCTGTTCTTTTTGCAGGGACAAGCATGATAAGAACCATCGGCCACAGTTTCACAAGGTAGGTAACACGGGCTAGTTGGCCAGGGCGTGTTTTTGAAAGCTAGGCATCTCAGCAAGCAACACAGGAACAACTCACTGAGGGGCAGATTCAAATGCAAAACCCGTTCTTGAAATGGAGATTTCGTTTTCTTATTTGAGAGCCAGCTGTGGGAGTGCTCAAAACAATGATAACCAGTTTGAATAGATTCAGCATTGGGGAGGGCTCAGGAGATACTCCATATGGCAGATGACTGGTGGAAAAGCACTTTCTGGAGATTATGCTGTTGTTTTGGTGGCCTAGATGTGGGAAAGTATACTAAAAGCAATTATTTTGATTATTGGAAGCTATGTCTTCCTTCCTATTGAGCAAAACAATTGTGCTTCACCCAGATGAAGAGATGGGAAGAGAGTTGGAGAAAAGCAGACAGATAGGAAGGAAAGCTCTCTTTTTATATATTTTGTATCTTAAATAAGTAAATTATTTATGGGAAGAGATCTATCATTTTTAAGAGTTTTAAGAGTTCAGAATCTGGTGGGAAGCACCAATCGAACCCTGGAACAATTGGACATCTGAAGAAAGCCCAGGTAGAATTAACAAATACTGGTGATTTCCTGTGCAGGGACCTGCTCTGAAGATAAACAGCAACCAACGCTATGCCTCCACTGCTGTCACGGAGGCATTGATTCGTGAGATTGCCACTCGTGTCAACGTTCCTTTACAAGTAAGCATGTTAAAAAGTAAAGATTCCCTTTATCCATGCACTTTCATTGGCAACACTACACAGACTCCCAGTCTAGCCTGTATCTCTGGTACACCCTGGTGTTTTCTGTCCCAAGTACTAAGCAGGCCTGACCCACTTAATTTCCAAGCTTAAAGAAGGTTGACTGCATGCTGCCAATGGCTGTATGGTGCTTCAGCCATTAGGAACTGCCACTGCACTACATCACTGTACACTCGCTGGGGGCAAATCATCCTACCTGCCAGGAACAGGGGAAATAACACCAGGGATGCTGGGCTTTATAGTTAAATGCTAAATGAAGGGCTTCTCCCTCTGAAGATGTTCCCTTCTCCCTTTTCATTTGGTGGTTCAGTCCACATTAGAAACTTCAGCTTGATTGTTGAGTTGGACTGGCCAGTACCAAGGATCTGAGAAGCCCATTCAAAAGATTCAGTTCTATATCCTGCTCTCCCTCCTTCATTGCTATCAAAGAGATTGTCAGTTGTCTGCTCTTTTTTTTCTCTCTCTCTCTCTCATGTCGGTTACAGGAATTTATGGTTCGAAATGATTCTCCTTGTGGCACAACCATTGGACCCATCCTGGCTTCCCATCTTGGTTTGCGTGTTCTTGATATGGGTTGCCCACAATTAGCTATGCACTCCATTCGTGAGATGTGCTGCACCTCAGGGGTTCTTCAGACCATCACTCTCTTCAAGGT